ATTAGAAGGAAAGGACATACTAGTTTTAATTCTTTTATTTTCATTTAATATACATTGATCGGTTTATTTCATAATATGGTACATGAATATAGAGAAAAAATCCTGGTCCCTATTTTCAAAAAATTTACAGTAGTTGATTAGGGAACACAGTCATCCACTCTTCTCTAGTATATCTCCTTTGCAATGAGCAGCAGAAAATGATATACAACATCTGGTTCTCAATATTAAACAACACAAAAAATTATATTGTTTGCATATACAAAGTACATTTTTTTCTCTTTATACAAAAGAGTAAACTTTTCTCCTTAAGAAGCTTCCATTTTTATAAGCCTAGAGAGAGAGCAGCAATTTTAAAATACCATTTAATTGATTAAAATACATGGATCTCACAGCTTTCCTACTCTTGCTTATTCCTGATGGGCGCCTTAAAACCTAGGTGTAAGGCACAGCGACTGGACACTCAAAGAAGAGTAGAGAGTGCACATGGGGTACTTTACAAAACCAAACTGGCAATGCAAACAAGCCTCTGATCTCTGAGGAGTATGGAGCTTGCTCTCAATTTTCATTCATCCTCAGATCAATCACTGAGCCCATGAAGGTCACTGGAGATAAGTGGGGCCACCACTGTGGCCACATTTCCCTTTGAGCAGGAAACTGAAACAAGCAAAATATCTTTAAGATTCAAGAGTAGATCTAAAGCACAACAGTCCCTTAGGGCTAACAGCAAATAGGTTAACCATGGGAAAAATTTTGGTGATAAATTATACATGCTGCTAAATGGTAAAGTTAAAGGGTAACGCAAATTTAAGGTTGGGAAAGTAAACTTAAATTGTCAGGGAATTCCAAACTTTATATTCCACATTAATTTAGCAATTTGAGTAACCTGCAGGAACTGCTTAGCAACACAGGTCATTTTATAAATGTAAATCATCCTAATTAATTTAATTTTTCTGAGCTGGATTCTTTTTAACCCACCTGCTCAATGCTGGCCTCTCTCCCATTCAACACAAACCAATGCCAAAGTAGTCTTCCAAAACAGTGTTACTTTTGAGCTACTCTAACACATATTACTTCACATTTTTTTCAGAACTATCTCTAACACACAAAGCATCTTTGAGCAAATTAGAAAAATAGTGCCCCCTCCTCAAGCTAAAAGGAAAAAACTATATGTGCGTGTGCATGTAAATTAGTGTATGAATGCACAACCTGAACAGCTTGCCACAGCCATATTCTCACCTGCTCACATGTCCCCAGAATGCCAAGAAGCAAATGTCGCTGGCAGTATGCACAGAAGATGCCTATGTGCAAGTCCACACACCCAAACACGCATGCTCCAACCCCAAGGTGAGAAGCTATGGCAGGTTCAAGGTTTGGTAGGGGTCCAAATCAGGCCACCAAGATCAGCACATGAGAGGAATGCCAAGTGCTGTCAGACTGGGTACAGTGCTTACCAGCTGGTGCATGAAGGCTTCTGTTGGAAGAGTGTCTGCTGCAGCCTCTGGCACGCAGCTGAGAGCCCTGAATCTCCACCCCTGCCCACCTACTCTCCAATCAGTTACTCCTGTGGCCCCCAAAGCATGGTAGGGGGCCTTGGAGATCCCCACAGTTCTTTTGAGGGACCACAAGATCAAAAATATTTTCAAAAAATACTGAAACATGCCTTTCACTCTCATTCTTTCTTGAGTGTACAGTAGAGATTTTCAGAGGCTACACCATATGTAATGACCTCATCACTCTGAGGGCTAATGGAATGTGTGCTCCTGCATTAGAAAATTATCACAGGAAATATCAGTGCCTCAGAGTAGTGAGGCAACATGGACTGCATCCTGGTTTTGGAGCAAGATCTGTGTTCAAATGCTAGTTTGACGACTTATTAGTTTATGTGACCTAGGCAAGTTACTTAATCTTTCTGAGTAAGAGGACTTATAGGGATTTACAGCAGCATTCTAAATCCTCCCCATTCTCCATCTATCACTCTGAGATTCTCAACCAAAAGAAATAGACCCACAACAACCAACAGTCAAACAAGAAACAAATATCAATTTTATCAATAGTTGGGCAAGTGCCCAAAACCCCAACTCTACTAAAAGGTAGATTGGAGAACAAGGCTAGGAGTTCAAGCAAGGCTTCCTCCTCCCTGTTCTCTGAACTTCAAAATGACTGGCCGTCTGAGCAGACTCCTAGTCTATCTACTAGGCTTCCTGGACAGCATGCCCGGCCTGCCTTACCCACACATGCACAGGGGAGACGCTCACGGATACAGGGTATGAGAAGAAAAGGTACAGGGATGAGCAGAAAGCATTTCAGAGTCCTGTAATTCTGTCCTCTTGGGAAGTGTGACCCACGGAATATTTCAGATGCTGCCCAGTGAGATTAGCTATTTTCCCTTCAGTAGGGAGTGGTGAGTAATAGATGAGAGATAAAAATACTAAGATAGCAATGGAAGGATCTCCTATTCTTATTGGAGATTATAGCACCTCATGACCTGGCACATATCAGTCACTCAAGAAGTAATAATTAATAGTGGTATATGCTGGGGTTAATAGGAAAAGAGTCTGAAAAATAAGAGAACTAAAACTTTCATATCCTCTGTTTTCCACCCCTATTTAGGGAGCATCAGGGACATTGGATGTTATAAAGCCCCACCTTTCCCCAAAGCAGGTGTCCCTCTGTAGCCTTCCTCCAGCCTCTGATTGTGCATTTGAAGTCCCAAGTGCCCAACATTCTTTGAGGCTTCTAGTTCAGTTGAATGACAGCTCTTTTTAATTGAAAGTTCTACTGCAAGACCCAACACAGGGTTCACTTTCATGATATACAAAGAAAATCATGACATCTATATTATTTGCCAAAAACAAAACAAAACAAAACCAGTGATTACTATCTCCTGTTATTAGCATGACCTTAGTATGGTAACTGAAGAGCCAGGAAAAGATGTGAGACATACAGAATCCACTTAAATACCTATGAGTCCTGGCCCTGCCAGTTAGGGGAGATGAAGAAAAGAAGTAAGGATAGCCTCAAACTTTAAATTGGTTCATTGATTCCCACCTAGTGATAAAGCAACCTGGGTAGGAGTTACAGAATTTCGTCTACCCAGATCAAACGATAAAGTTGAAATATGTCACATAAGAATTAAGAAAGTCTTAACTTGGACTCCAGGGACTTAGGCTGCAAAATAAATGGCATTTATAGTTTAGGGTCTTGGGCAATTCTCAATGTGGTCATAAGGAAAACCCCTCTGAATGTCTGCAGCCCCAGGTCTTGCCGGGGCCCCAAATCTCTGGTCAATTAGCCTTCTCAGCGAGCTGAGAAGAAACCCTGATCAGGAAGGCGACCCTATCCTCAGTGGATAAGAGTATTTTAATACACAGAAGATTGAGAGATAAATAGAGACGAGAAAGTAAACAAATCCATGGTATCAGTATCTTTAAATTGCTTAGAAAATCTGGTACATCAAAGCATCTGACAGATTAAAATATGTAATTGAATAAAATATGTAATTGAATAATTGATTTTTAGACTTATGGTTTCAGTTAAAAGGTATAAATGGATTTGCCTATGTTTGTATATACTATTAGAATATATAAAAGAACTAGAGATTTACACTATTTATAAATTTCATTTATTAAATTAACTAGAGCATTTTAAGTACTTAGAAGTGATTTACTTGTTATAGGCATTTAGGTCTCAAGAAAAGCAAATCCATTAAAGTTTAATATATTTAAGGTACTATAATTAATCAAGTTAATTAATAAACTCTTTTAAAGTGATTGATAACATTTGCTAGATTTATAAGTAGAATAATGGAATTAGGAACTAAATGTCACAGTTCAATTAAAGATTTTTTTTAGTTTATAACTTTAATACATCAAATTCTAATTTTAAAAATAAAAGGAATTGCAAACACTCTTTTCTGTGAATGACATCAGCCCCCAATACCACTGAAATGCCCATGACATTTCTGATTCCACATTTCCTTTGATTCCGGGCTCTTAGCATTTGATCTTTTGCAGAACATAACCCTGATCCATAAAGAGCCAGCTTTTCAGAAGAAGGAAAAATCATTTACATGTCAAATGTGAATCTATTTCCTTACTATATTTAATCTCCAAGAATGGCCTCATCAAATAATAAAAGTCCCAGTTCAAATTAGTATCTGATACTTCACTCTATTATCAAAAACCATTACTACATAATTTATTGTCCAACAGAAAGGAAACTCCTGTTCTGTTTGGTCTTCAGCTCTAGGTAGGTCAAGTTCTGGTTGTGTATATCTTCATCAATATTGATCAAAATTACTCAGAGACTCACTGCCTGTATACATAATTTTTTAGAAAAATTAAGACACATGGTTTCAGAATCAATTGTAAATATTACAAGCTGGGCCCTATATAAGAGTGGCTGACAAAAGATGGAAGAGAGAGAGAGGGAGGAAATGTGCAGAGCATGGTAGAAATGATAATACCATAAAGTGAGGGGTCGGGGCGGCCCCGTGGCCGAGTGGTTAAATTTGTACGCTCTGCTTTGGCGGCCCAGGGTTTCACCGGTTCGGATTCTGGGCGCGGACATGGCACCGCTAATCAGGCCATGTTAAGACGGTGTCCCACAAAGTACAACCAGAGGGACCTACAGGTAGAATGCACAGCTGTGCACTGGGGGCTTTGGGGAGAAGAAGAAGAAAACTAAAAAACAATAAAGTGAGGGGTCAAGAGACATAAATGAAATATTACTGAAGCTGAAGAATCAGAAATAGAGCTTCAGGTATATTATTTAAAGTTATAAAAGTAACCAATAAAAGAACTAAATTATAAGTATAAATTATATACATATATACAAATATACATGTGTGTGTTTATCTGAAAACATTAGGAAGAGGATAGGAGAAGAGAGTAGTGTGTAAGCAATTTATCTTTCATGTCAAAGAGAAATTATATATATATTATATATAATAAATATATACTATATATTATAAATCAAAAACATGATCTGGCACACGTTACCTGGAGCACCACTGTCCAATGTAGTAGCCGCCAGCCACATGTGACTATTGAGCGCTTAAAATGTATCTAATCCAAGTTGAAATGTGCTGCAAGTATAAAACACACAAAAAATTTTGAAAACAATATAAACATGTAAAATATCTCATCAATAAGCTCTATTTGATTATATGTTGAAACAATAATATTTTGCATATACTGAGTTAAATAAAATATATTATTAAAGTAAGTTTTATATGCGTGGTTTACTTTTTTAATGTGGCTACTAGATAATTTTAAATTACCTATGCAGCTCACATTATATTTCTACTAGACGGGACTGCTCTAGAGTTTTGGGATTAAATATCAGAAGAATTAAAAATACAAATAAAGCAACCGGCTTCAGGGAAACAGAACTGAGGGAAGGATACATGGGGCAGGAGGCAGGTGTTTCCATCAGAAAGTCCTCTATAGTAAGATTATCCCTTTCCGTTTGAGGAAACAGGCCTGGAGATGAAACGACTTCTCAGATTTTAAGCCAATAAATGACAGAGTCCAGATTCTCACTCAGCTTTTCTGACGCAAAGCTCCACATCACACTGGTTTTTCATAGCCCTCCTATTAGCCACAGTGGGTTTTCCTAACATTTGAAAAGACAAATATCAAAATGAATAATCTACTTGGAGGCAAATAGTGGTAATTGCTGTCAGTTCCTGACAGTAAAATGGAGATTCAGCAAAGTAGAACAATTTGCCTGCAATTATACAACTTGGTAGTGGCCAAGCTGGGATAAGTAGATTTTCCCAAATGCTCCCATAGTTATCCAACCACGACTTCGAAAATTCAAAAGCAAAAAGACATAAATTAAACCTAAGAATGAATATGGATTTCAAAGTAGTAAAGGGTTAATTAAGCTCTAGATATGCTCACCAAAAAAGTGCATTACATCTGCAAAAATGAGAATATTCAAAGACTGCTTCCAAAGCAGAGAGCATATTACAAAGTGGAGGCAGCAACTGGGTGGGTAGATGGACGTGGATGAGCAGGAAGCCTGGTACCACCCCAGCCTAGTACATTGATTCTGTTGAGTAATTAAGGTTCCTACAGATTCGTCATTACAAACTGTTTACCAGGACAAACTGTACTTTAAATTGAAAGTGTGTTTATCTTGTGTTTCGCCTGTGATTTCTCAATAAGATTTGTGTCATATTGATCGGGGTACATCAATCTTGGAAAAGAGGTGAAAAAAATGTATGATATTTTTATTAAGACCTATAGAAATAATATATTGTATACAGCTGCTCATACAACTCCGCTGAAGCAATGTCGCTGAAGTAAATGGAGGGGAAAATCCTATTACAGTAGTACATGTTTTACTGCACTAATATTTTCCTTTCGATTTTAAGCTGTATTGGAAAACAAACTGGACCCTTCAGGAATCATTTGTTTTAGCATTTGAAAAAAGCATTGATTTTAACACTGGAGCATGTAATCAAGTTTTAGAAACATTCACATCAAAATGATCTTTGAAAGGCAATTTGTCAGTGTTTCATTTATCCAACCTCTGACTACAAATTTTTAAGTCTTTTTCCCTGATCCTCTATCTTATGTATAAAGTAATTTCCTTTAGAATTACATTATTTTAAAATTGCCAACTTACTTTGTTTATTTCCTATGCCACTGACAAAATTAAAATACCCACATAATAAGGTAAAGAAATAGGGAGAGCTTTTTCCTTTTAATTGCAGAGTTAAAATGATAATGGCTTTGATGTCAAAAATAATTATGGAATAATCAAGAACTTAACTAAATGACTCGGAGGTTAAATCTCCTTGCATCTTTTAATATTGTCATCTCCAACACATGGCCTTTCCTGGAAAGGGAAGAGAATGTGGAAGACTGCACAGTGGGTTTTATGCCCAGGCCTATAGATAACACACATTACTTCCAACCATATTTCACTGGACAAAACCTAGGCACTTGGCTGTGAAGCAACTTTGAGGAATAATGGGAAATGCAGTCTTCCTGTGTCCAGGAAAAGCAAATGGAATTTATTAATCCAGCAAATCTCTAACGCAGAGAAAAAAATTAAATTACACAATGCTAACATACCCAGATGTCCTTCTATAACTTCTAAAAGTAATCCAAGCTTTATCCCAGAATTCATTTATATGTATACATTTTTTTAGCCTTATGAAGAAAACTCATGAGCAATTGGCACAAAAGAAAGACTTTTACTACTGATGTACTGAGAAACAAATAAACCTCTGAACCTATGGTTCCCTCATCTCAGGAAGCAGTTTTTTAAAAACTGATGAAGATAAAGTTCTAGATACAACAAACTTGTCTAGTACTAAGTCAAGTCCAATCACAGAGAACCCCCACCCTACTCTCAACTCCCATTCTATGCCTAAATTTAGAGAACAGCATCCTAAATGTCCAACTATGCTGCTGCAGCTGAGTTCAACACCAATAGGAACATTCTAGAAAAAACTAAAATATATGCTGATCCTATGATGTCCTTTGATTCACTTAGCAGAAAGAAAGAAAAGTACCAAATGGAGGTAGTGCAACCTGGTACACCAACGGGACTGTGAATGATAGGCACAAAATAGCATTTAATTTCTACCAGGTCTACTTTCAGATTCTGAATAACTTCAGTGCCTGTGCCCAAACTGGTAACAGTGCTTTGTGGAGAATGGAATTAAGTAGCTAATTACAACTTTTATACAAAATGTGCAATGCCATAATGGGATTCAAGTAACGAATGAATCAATACTCATGCCTCTTCAAATAATGAGTCCCCCTCACTAGAAGGGTTCCTACGGTGAAGGCATGGCTGTCTGATGGAATGCTGGAAAGGGCTTCATTGAGCAAAGCCAAAATGATATCTGCATACCAACCAATGCTCAGATTTCAAGATTCCAGTCCTTAAATCTGTCTGCTTTAAAAAAAAAAAGTGATTATTTACCAAGCCACACTTCCAGTTCTGTGTCATCAGTGTCCTTGGTTCAACAATTACATAGGAAAGGCAAAAAATAAACAAAAACAAAAAATTTGATCTTAAACTATAACCAAAATGAGTGTTTTATTTCTCTTTTCTTCAAATGGATTGTTTTACTAGCTACCACTTTCCTATAATAAATCCAGAGTATTCCATTTAAGTCATTTTAAACTCAAAATAACATTCAGTTTTGCCACCTAAGGGGATCAAAGGTAATTTCTATATAGAAATGGACGTAGAACGGGAAAGTGCAAGTACGGTAAGCTATGCTTCCAGAGGTATGCTTTTCAAAAGTTATGCTTAAAGAGTCACAGTTATTGATTTTTAAAAATCTGGGTATATAATTAAGCCCAGAGTATCATAGGTTGAATCATCAGGTTTTTAATGGTTAAAACTAGAAATGATAGAAAAGCTTGATGTAAAATAAAAAGACTAGCAACCTCAGAAGACTAGGGACTAGCTCCTGTTAGCATCACTGGAGTTAATAATGCCTAGAGGGAGAAACAGAGCCATGACCATAAATTAAACTTGGTGTTTCTTGCTGACTAAACTCTGCATGTTGCTATTAAAAATGCTCGTTTCTTATCTAGCAAAACATCTGCTTTTTGATGCTAAAAGTGGGATCCTGAGGGAAGCAGTGATCTTTCCCAAGGCAACTTGATTAATAGTAGGCTTCCAAATTTTAGCTAAAAGACATTTTGATGAAACCAGCAGTACTGAATAATTGTTTCCACAAATAATCTTGATATAGATTTCCTTTCTCTCCAGGACTTAGACGGTGGAACTCTGAGATGCGCTGTTTTCCTTCCTCACAGTTCTCACACCTATTCTTATCTTACAAGTCATGGTGTTCACTGACCACCCACACACCTGGGCCGTGTGTTGCAAAACATCCTTGCTCCCTGGTTCCTAGGAGTTTGTGAAGAGAAATTATCTGAATGTGGAGAAATAATAAACAAATGGACATAATGTTTAAAACAAGAACTAAAATGTTAATTCCAAGGAGTTAATTTTATTGCAATACAGTGGAAATGCAAGAATAATACTGTATTCTCAAATATACAGAGGTGGGCAATTGAGAGCTGGACAAGATGTAAAAATTATCATTGAGGGTAAATAATCTTTATGCAAAGTTAACTAGAAGATATTTCAAGGACAAAGCAAGATTTTGAAAAATCAAGTAGAGCTGACGGCGGCTTGAAAATGTAAAACAAGTCCTTAGAACACAGCAGAGGAGGTGAGGGCCCGAAAGAGAGAGTTGGAGAAGAGAGAGAAAAGGAAATGGAAGGAAAAAAGGAAAAAGAAGAGACAGAAAGTCTGCTGAATTAGGAATTAAAAGACCTGAATTCAGTCCCTGATCCTTCCTGGCCATGTTATCTTGAGCAATTCTCATCACTGTCATTATCATAGTAACAGCTATAGCTTACAGAGAACTTACAATGAATTTGGCCCTCTACCCAGGTTACCTCCTTTAATCTTCACAGAAACTTTGTAAGCAAGATTCTATTACCCCCACTTTATGGATCAAGAAACAGATTCAGAAAACTTAAATAATTACCTAAGGTTTTACAGTAGGTAAAATAGTAGATGTCAGAACCAGGACTTTTTCCTGGTTTGAAAGCATGTGTATAATTTGCAAGTACCCACCCTTTCCACAATGGTGGAATACCTCTTAAATGTAACCTCTCGGAACCTCACTCTCTTCATCTAGTAAGGGATTGTTAAAATTCCTTCTGTAGTCACATGAAGATGTGTATCATTTGTCTTTTGCCACAGTAACTTAATTTCTTATTTCTCCTGGGACTATGAGAAGGCTAGGCAGTCAGCTGATCTTGGCTGGACTTGATGGGACAGTTTTAATGGTCTGAGCATATCTGGTGATCAGCTGGTTGTTAGCTGATCTAGCATGGCATCATTAGGATAACTAGCTCTGCGCCACGTGGCCTCTCCTCTCCAGCAGGCAAGCCCAGACTCGTTCCCATTACAAAGACAAAGAAAACACTCAAGTCCTCTGGAGTCCTAGGGTCAGAACTGGCATGAGACCACTTACACCACATTCCGTTAGCTAAGCAAATCACAAGACCATCCTGGATTCAAGGGCTAGGGGAAAAGACTCCAAAATCACATTGCAAAGGGCATGTATACATGGAAGAGGGAAGAGTTAGGGCCATTTTGCAATTACTCTACATAGGATGTATGTAAATATGCTCTATAAACTGTAAACCACCACACCACTGGGTCCCTATCTAAAAACCGCCACACCACTGGGTCCCTATCTAAAAACCTATCTTGAAAAGCACCAGCCACTGCCACCAGTCCAAGGACAGCTTGTTTTCACAGCTGTCAACTCTTCCAGCTGAGCTTGTAGAAAAGAGCTAGACCAAACCATGTAACGAGGATTAGTGTATCAGGCTTTTCTTCCGCTCTCTGAATTCAGATAAGATTTTCCCCTATGCCCTTACCCTGTGACTCCATCCACAGTTACATTCTATTAAATTAAACATTTCCTCCAGAATTAAAAATCAAGGAGAATAATTTCCAGGCTCGGTGTCATTTATTCTTGGCTTTTCCATTGTACATTCCACAATTTTTGTTATTGGAGTATCATGCTTTCTTCCTACAGCAAAATCCCAAATGTTAAATCCCAAATTCATAGTTAAAATGCTTTAAAACCACACCCTATATGTCCCTAAGGGACGTAGTCTGGAAGGGCATCAAACCAGCATTGGGATTCATGTCAAGCCACAAAATTTACTGTGATTTGGACAAAAACCTACTGTAATCAGAAACTCCAGAGACTGTCTATTTTGTCTCAGAAACATTCATCCATATTTTTTAAGTTCCCCAAAAACCACATCCAGATGAGCCTGCAAAAGGATGTCAACCCTTATCATGTCATATAACCTCTCTAGGCAAGTGGTTCTCAACCCTGGCTGGCTGCACATTAGAATCACCTGCGGAGATTTTCAAAGTCCCCATGCCCAAGTCACACCCCAGGACGATCAAATCGGAATCCCTAGGGATGAGACCCAAGCTTCAGCAGTTTTTCCAAGCTCCCTAAATGATGCCAATGTGCCCCCCAGGTTGAGAACTATTGCAGGGAACCCTTACCTCCCCAGCCTATGAATGGAAGGTTTTGCACAAAATTCCAATTTGTACTAGGTTGCAATTCTATTTCTCTCTTTGAGTTACTAGCAAAATAACTTGCCTATTTCTCATTAAACTACTTTAAAGCAGTGTAGAGTAGAAAGGCTTTCGAATCTGAGCTGCAGTTAAATCCCTGGTCAATTACTCATTAAGTAATGTAGTCCCCCCTTATCCACAGTTTCACTTTCCAAAGTTTCACTTGCCCAAGGTTAACCATGATCCAAAATATTAAAGGGAAAATTCCAGAAATAAACAATTCATAAGTTCTAAATTGCACATCATTCTGAGTAGCTCAATGAAATCTTGCACCATCCTGCTCTGTCCTGCCCAGGACATAAATCACCCCTTTGTCCAGTGTATCCACACTGTATACGCTACCTGCCCATTAGTATTAGTAGCCGTATTGGTTATCAGATCATCTGTGGCAGTATCACAGTGCTTGTGTTCCAGTAACCCTTATTCTACTTAATAACAACCCCAAAGTTCAAGAGAAGTGATGCTGGCAATTCAGATATGCCAAAGAGAAGCTGTAAAGTGCTTCCTTTAAGTGAAAAGGTGAAAGTTCTCGACTTAATAAGAAAAAATGGTAAGCTGAGGTTGCTAAGATTTACGGTAACATTTATTACAGTATATTGTTATAATTGTTCTATTTTATTATTAATTATTGTTAATCTCTTACTGTGCCTAATTTATAAATTAAACTTTATCATAGGTATGTGTATAGGAAATAACATACCCTATATAGGGTTCAGTGCCATCTGAGGTTTCAGGCGGCCACTGGGGGTCTTGGAACGTATCCCCCATGGATAAGGGGGTACTACTATACACGACTTGGAGCAAGTTATTTAACCTCCTCAGCCTCTCTGAGCCTTGATTTCTTCCTAAGGCAAATGGTATAATGATTCCTAGCACATAGGGAGTTATAAAGATTAAGTGAGATAAAGTATATAAAATGCCTCCATAGTAGACAATCAAACAACATCTATTTCTTTTCTCTTTGCCTAAGGATTCTTGAACAAGCTGCTTAGCATCCTCAGGTGGCCTATCTGGACGGCCAAAGCAAAAGAAAAGGATGATAATCAACGTGTATTACATGGGTCTGGACAAGGTGAAGGGGTCCAGTTGTCTGCCTTTCACATGCATCAGAAAATCCTGCTGCTAATTCTCTTGAAGTGAAATATCACTATATATCTGCTTGCTGGGGCCCACTCCACAGTGGGGCTAAATGTCACTCGCTCTTTGTCTAGAAACATCATTGATGGGGGTCTTTATTTTCTTCTCCATCAGCCCAAGAGGCCTGATGCAGACTGGGTTTAAGGGAAAGGCCACACAAGGAAGCACAGCCAAGGACCCAGCCAGCTTCCCTCTGCATCTGACCAGCCCACCACAAGAGTAAAGAGCACAAATGACTGCAAAGTAAGCCAATATCACCATTACAGCCATAGAGCAGCAAAACATCTCTGGATAGTAGGATTGTCTTCTTTGCTAATCACAAGTCTCTTGGACAGGGCTGCAAATACCCTTCTGCACAAAGCAGTATTGTTAAATTGCTGTAGTTTTTTAAGAAGCCTGGCGCCACAAAGCAAACGAACCTTTTTTTCCCTTTGGTCTCTGCGCTGGTAACAAATAAGAGATACATTTAGATTTTCCCAAAATGTATTTTTAAATGACTAAACCTGTTTTCCTGCTTCTGACTCACTTTCCAATTACAGAAAATCTCTATAAATTAAGATTGATGCAACAGAAGCAAAGTAGAAATTGTAGGAATATTGTTGATTAATTATATGTAACCAAACGCTGTACAGTTAAATAGTAATTTCAAAATGACCAATCTTTGTGGAAATTTGTCTGCCCTCAGCAGCCCCTTACCCCACATCATAGGACAGGTCATGGCTGCCCCTACTCTCAACCTGATTCAGACAGCTGCCCTAAATTCTAGCCTTTGCCCCACTGTAGTGATTAATTACGTGGTGGCACTTACAACTTTCCTGGTCTTCATTCTGTTTCTTATTAAATTAAAGAATTTTTTTAACTAGTATACATACATAGGTTCCATGGCAGAGTAAATACCTAGCCAATATTTAAGCCTGTGCTAAATCAGATTGTTTTGATCAGACATACTGAATTGTTAGTGAATGTGGTCTCTCTCATTGACCTTAAATCATTAACCTTAAACTGATACTGGCACTTATCACCACTTAAATATCTACTTACTTCTTTACATGTTTACTGAATGTCTCCACCTTCTGGGTGAGAGGTCTACTAAGCATGGCCCATGAGTCAAATCAGGCCCACCATCTGTTTTCATTTATTTATTTACATAGTCAGACCCACTTATTTACATATTGTCTGTGGCTGCTTTCCCATTACAAAGGCAGAGTTGAGTAGATGTGACAGAGACTGATCTGCAAAGCCAAAAATATTTACTATCTGGTCCTTTACAGAAAAAGTTTGCCAACCCTGTTCTAGAGCCTAGGCTTCCTAAGAACAGGGACTTTGCTATAAACTCAGTGACCTACACATAGTAAGTGTTCAATAAACATTCATGGCATAAACAAATTACCTTAAATAAGTTTAGCATTTCAGCCACAAAGCTACTTGTCAGGTGCAGGTCTTCAGAAAAAGGAAAGGCAGACATTTGTGTCTTATTTACAGATATATAAAGCTGAAAAGATCCTAAATATACGAACACACCTAATTTTTCAGCTGAGGAAACTGAGGCCCAGAAAGCTGACGTGATTCTCCTAAGGTCAGCCTAAGGAGAGGCGAGCACTACTCCTGCAGCACGTTTGTTTTTCTATTAATTAATAAGGCACTCTGTGAAGTCAGCCTGTTCCCAGGAGGGCCAAGAGTTTGAACACAACATGCATGCAATAATAATTAGACTTGTTTGGAACTTTTAATTGTGACTTATTCCTTGAAGCTCTTTAAATGCTCACCATTCCAATACATTTTCATAAACTTGGCTAGAGAATGATAGGCATGCATTAAAGAACACAAAGTACAGCTTCACAACAAACTTTGTTAATTAAACTGACACCCAGAGAAAGTTCCAGAAAGCATAATGAATGATTACTCCATCCGCCACCTACCTGTCTTGACAAAAATTTCTCCAGATCTGACATCCCAAAGAAGGTACTGGTTTGAATTTTAAGGCATCCATCGACTCCCTGAAGTGCAAGAGAAAGAATAATTTAATTCTGCCAAGTCACACTAAAAAGTAGATAAAGATCGCCCAACACAACTCAGTTTCTCTGTCTCTTGCCTGTGTTGGCTGAGAAAGCAATGCTGGGTGGTTTGGTGTCTCCAATGCACTAAGGCAATTTTTCTTATATCATCATTTATTTTTCCTCCAAAAGTTCTTTGTAATTCAGTCCTTTAAAGGAAGGATCAGAGACAGAAATAAATCAGGGGACAGAAACACATTAGGACTACAAGGCCTGGAACCCACAGTCACAGCTCATTTCACTCATTTAACAACCACCAATTAGGCCCCTCATCTGTGCCAGGCTGTGATGGGCACTGGGGGAAACACAGAGACATTAGACACAGTCTCTGGGCCCCGGAAAGAGCTACATTTCACATAGGAGAGAGAAGGAGAGGGGTGCAGCACCATGAGGTGGGTCCTCAAGGTGAGTCAACAAGGTAAGCCCAGAGAACAGTGAAGACAGTGAGGGAGACCCAGGCCAGACTGTCCCAATGGTCAAGTAATAGTCAGATGAAAAAGGTGAGGGAAAACCAAACTCCATGAACTTAAAGTCACAAGTTCAAAGACAAGGAAGTCAGAGAGAACTGGACTTATTTAAGGGAGGAAACAGTCCCATACGTCTGGAGCCTCAAGTGGGAGGTGAGCATGGAGCTGAAGGCTTGGACTTTAAGCTTCGACAGTGCACACCTACAACATAGCTCTAAACCCAGTCTGTCCTGGGCACTGGGCTAGGCACCAAGACATGTCTTTAAAGTAAAAATGGTATCCTCGAGGTTCATCTGTAGAGCAGGGACCTCAGTGGCCTTCTTACTCTAATCTGCCATCCAATACAGAAATCTTATTCTAATACCCTAAACAGATGATCTTCTGGTCTTGGTGTGAATACGCCCAATAATAGGGAACTTACTGCCTCAGAAAGCAGCTTATTAGAAAGTTCTTTGTGTCAAATTGGCAACTGCCTCCCTATAACTTCTTCCTGACTCCAATAAGATATTGGCCAACAACTTTTCCCAAAGATAGACTCAAATCACAGTAAATAGTGCCCAAGAATCAGGTTTAGAAATTTATATGGCCTTGATTAACAGAGTGTTCAATATCATAACAACCACATTCCAAGATGCAGTTTATTTCTATCTCCCCAAGAAACCCAGGCCATGCCGGGACCAAAGATCTTCTGATTCAGGACACATCTCCTGGGAGGACTGGGCATCTGAACTCGGAACTTCTAGACCCAAGGAACAAAGAAGGCCAAGGGAGCAAGTAAAAACAGACTCAGAACAAAGCAAAATATAGAAGCCAAAGCACAAAGCTCCATGAGTAGGAGCTAAAGAGAGAAAGTGGGAGTCAGGCAGACAAGTCCTGGAAGAAGTGCAGCCATGTTGCAGTGGTTCATCTGCATGACCCAGATTCACAGGGCACAAGGGAAGCCCTCTACTACACGCCAGAGACAACCATAACGGCATTTTACGTTACATACCAGAAGGGAACAGGCACAATCCCCAAGTCAGAACTGTAATGTTACTCAGGTGCAGAGAGACAGCAGAATTACTCAAATCCTATTCTGCTTTCCTCATTGCTGCTAAGAAAATGATGCTGACTCTGCAGAGTAGAACACACACTGTCAACAAAGAATGGAAGCCAGGGATGGATGAGAAGACAACCGAGTCCCGTAACTGCTGCTTTACCTGAGTTCAAGGCCCTGACCCAGATTAATTGATTCCAAGACACTGAGAGAACCTGCAGATGTTATCAGAGTCCCAGAGCTGCAAATATGTGCAAAATCATGCACAATGAGAGCAGAATCAGAGACTGAAACTAGGCTAATACCATCTCAGTTACCAAAAAGAGAAGAAGCTGGATTCTGTGAAAATGTGAAATTATAGACTGAGAGGCTGTAGTACTAATAAACAACCAGGAAAAGCTTAGAACCAAGCAATGAGGGAGAAAGGGGCAAGGAGCCATGACTAACACATACAATGAGCAATTACCGGTGAGAGAGGCAGACGCAGAACTGATGATAGACAGCAAACTGTGCTCATCGCGCCAGGCACTCTTCCAAGCACCTAATCCTCAGACCAGCTCTAAGAAGTAGATGTTATTAGTACCCCATTTTACAGATGAGAAAACCAAAGCACAGATTTCACATAACTTGCCCAAAATTGCACAGCTAGCAGCTGGCAGAACCAGGGTTTGAACCACCATAGAGCGCTGCCTTCCTGAGGAATTCAGAGGTTGGTATGAAGGTGACCTTTCAGGAGGAAGCAGAAACTGGACAAAGTTGAAAGATTAATAAAAGTTGGAAGATGAGCTAGAGATGGGAATTGGTGAGGCATGTGGAGGTCATGAAGAAGAGAATCCTCACTGGAACTCAGCGGGCAAGATGAAGACAGAGAAGAACACGGTGGGAAACATGAGGCCAGATTCAGAACACCTTGAATGGGATGAAGAGGAGGTTGGCTTTCGGTTTTAAATTTGCTCCTTGCTCCCAAGATCTCCCTTCTTTATCTTACTAAAGGCACTTTTGGTTGTAATACAAATCTCTTCAAATAAGAAATGCCAAAAAAAATGCTTGGAAAGGGGAAATTTATTGGGAAAATCCAAGGTCAGGAAGGGTAGTTGAGCCTCACAGGGGCCTCAAACCCGAGACTCCGTGTCAACAGATGAAGCCCCTGTGAACTTTCAGTTGACATTGCTGATGTAACCAGTTACCTATGGGAGAGTGAGACCTCTCACGTGTGTGTATCTTGTCTCTCCATCTAGAAAAGTATTTTCTAACTTCTGTGGCCATGATCCACAGTAAGAAATTCATTTTGCATCATGACAAGTCTACACTCATATACAATCATAAGCAGTGTATTATCCCCCAGGATAAAACACACAGCCCAGGACTCCTACTCAAATACATTTGTTGGCTGACTGGTTGATACGTTGACTGGTGGCTGTATCACTTTCCTAGCATCTTAGAATAAAATAATCATAAAGATTCAGGGAAAATAAACTGTAGAGATTATCTTGTCCAGTGACTTTCAACATCATTTTAGTGATTCCTTTTCCAAATGAAATCTTAATTGAAGGCCAATATATAAGGTACAGGGTCACAAATTTATTTACACTATACTTAGTTCAAAGAAGACATAAGTTTTTTATTTTCTGTAATGGATCTGATTTTTAAAACCTCCAAGACCGCCAAACCCACACCACAAAGCCCAGACACCACACTGAATAGATGGGGTAGAGAAATAGAGAAATGAAAAAATACACTTCAATTCAGTAAACTCAGTCTCATGTTGACTGATTCAGCCTTTCTGATTTTCTCCCTCTCCCCAGGTCCTCTCGAAGATGGTGTCTGGGAGTACAGGGAGCATATGTGGCCTTATGGCATTGGAAGTTAGGATGGGGAGGAGAGAAGCCCCCACCCTCCTCCACCACCTTGTGCTAGTCTTGGGTGTATACTGGTCTGGGCCCACACGAGGTACAGTCAGTCAACTCCACAACCCCTTTCCAGGCATTCCACTGGCTTCCACTGCTGACATCTATGGCAGATATAATTCACAGACTGTTCTTTCTTGTCCTGGTCAGGTCCAGGGTGCCCCCTTCTCTCTTGGCTCTACCTCAGTTCTCACTAGCCCTGCAGTGCCCCAAAAGTTTGGCAGTGACCCCTCTATAGTCCTGACCCCAATGTCCCACCCTGCAGCCTTGGCTACACAGCCACCCACACCACCCCAATGGCTCCCACTTCTGGCAAGCTTTCCAGCCAGACTGCCTAAAGAAAGGTTCCTTCTGCTCTATTCAGGAGCTAAGGTTAGGCCCTCACTCTGCCTAACCAAATGGCCACTCCAGCTTGCTGTGAGTACACCTTAAGGTAGTCTCCCAGAGCCTCAAACGGGAAGCAGCACAAAAGCCCTGCTTCCCTCGATCCACTAACTCAGCCCCTCTTCAAGGCTTTAGCCAGCAAGGGGAAACAGAAGACATATGTCTTCCTTCGGATTCCTGTATCTCCCCTCTTCTTCCCACGGCTCCTCAGGCTGGAAGGGGCAGGTTTTCTTCCTTCTTCTTTCTCTGTGATTAGAACATTCCCCTATTCTTCCTGCCCGCTCCCCTTCCTCCTCTAGAGTTACAGTGGTGAACCGGGCGGGGCGGGGGGGGGGGAGAGAGAGAGAGACCAATTTTAGGTCCTAAGTGAACCTAAATTAAAAGGCGTTTCAAAATTACGATACCCATTTTATTTAAAACAGACAAAAAGGAAGCCAGGGTGGGGGACTCAGAGCCCCATTTGCTTGTTGGGCTCTCCCTTACTCTTCTCAGAGCCCCTAAAGAACTGGAGATTTATTGAATGCATTTGGAAAACCATTGATACAGTCTAGCCTAGGGCTCTCCAATAGAGCTTTCTGCAATGATGGAAACGTGTTACATCTACACTGTCCATTATAGCAGTCACTAGCCACATGTGGCTATCAAGCACTTGAAATGTGGCTAGTGCAACTGAGGAACTGAATTTTAATTTGATTTGACTTTAATTAATTTAAATAGCTATAATATTGGACAGTGCAGCCTAGCCCATTCATTTAACAAGTAGATAGGACCTTGCAGCCCAGTATCATTCAGCAAGGTTATGATAGAGTTAGCATGAAGACCCAGGACCCATATTCTCTAACCCATCGTTCCCATCACATCTCAGCTGTCATGCCCAGGTCACGGAGCACAGTGCCTCCTAGCTGCTTCCAATCTTAACAAAGTGCTCTGGAGCTTTGTTACAAGATACACTATTATATCATGAAACTCAGTTTGGATCCAAACATTCTTTTTTTTTTTTTAAGAAAGGAGTTTGGGGCCAGCCCTGGTGGCCTAGTGGTTAACTTCAGTGCACTCTGCTTCAGGTATCAGGGTTTGGTTCCCAGACACAGACCTACACCACTCGTCTGTTAGCAGCCATGCTGTGGCAGCAGCCCATATGAAAAAGGAAAAAAAGAGGAAAACTGGCAACAGATGCTAGCTCAGGGTGAATGTTCCTCAGCAAAAAAGAGAAAAAGAATGAAAGAAAGGAGTTTGACCCCTCCAGAACCTTAACCCTCAAGAGTGAAGACCTGAAGAATGTTGCTACAAAAATTTCAAAACAGTGTAACCTCAGCTATAACGACGTCGGGAGAAATAGCCCCACAGATCTAGTATTTTGAGTTTTCATAAGTGCAAGTGAACTTTTTCATCATGAAATGTGACTTGCTGAGATATCTTGACAATCACAGCAAAACAGCACAGCCTAGTGAGAGGACGTTAGGTGAGGAGACATGGGAACGGGGAAAAGGCTTTTCATTAACCAGCTGTGCATTCTTGGGCAAGACCTTTAGCTGCACTGGGCCCAAATTTCACTTTCTATAAAACATACACTGCAGTACCTCCTCCCTTCTCTCAAGGATGTTATGGAGATAAATCAGCAAAATATATAAAATGTTCCTTGTTCCTAGAAAGAAAATCACTCTCAATTTTCAAAACTCATTCTAAAACACAAAAGTAAAGTTTCCCTGAATGTAAAATAGTTAAAGTCAAACATCTTGTATCACTTTATGCCAAAAATTATTACACCATTAACCATGGGGCTACACTAATGTCCATTTTAATGAGAAATTTCACTTTGGAGAAGAAATTTTACTGTTATTTAAAAGGAGAACGGTGATTCAAAATGACAGAAGCCAAATTTCTTTGCTATTTCCTGTTGCAGGGAGTAAGTTAAAGCATGGGATTTTAAAAGGACACATTTATAATGTGTGCACATACTGTTTTACTAGCTAATAAGTTGAAAAGTTTAAAGGAAGTAAGTTGGGTGTAGGATTTCAGGAAAAGTCCATGTAAACTCAAATCATTCTTGTTATCTTTATTTTCTGCCTTGAACAGTAACAATAATAATGATGATATTCTATCCTGTTATATCCAAAGATGAAACCACAGAGACATAGCTTTGGGGCATCTTGGTTCCACCCCAAATAACACTCCTTTGGGTTATCGGCACACCTGTGTGAGTTAGCGGATGGGGAGCAGGGAGACATTGACATCTGCAGCAGAATAGTGGAATCAATCACTTCCTCCTTTGTCTTCCCACATCATTCTGCTTATACCTCCACTATAGAACTTGCCATATTGTATTTAATAATTAATCACTATTTCATGCCCCTGGCAAAACAGCGAGCTCCTCGAGGGTAGAGCCATGTCTTATTTGTATCTGGATCCAAAGCATAAGATGGGCAATCAGGAAGCTGCATCAGGTGATCGCTGATCCCCTGGGAACCAACACTCCCAACTCAACAAGAGCCAAACAAACATCAGTGTCTCTCCAAACCCCAACTCCGTGCACATGGTTGATCTTGGCTTGACAACATTTATTCCAATTCATAAAGAGGCTCAATTCCAGAGTTACAACTCAGGCTTCAACCTCACTAGTGGGAAATACTGCACGTGAGCTAAAACAGAAACTCCCAGCCAGTTTCCTCCCTGGCCATGAAATGGAGGATACTTACCTTGGGTATTTGGCTTGTAACATCAACAAGAGCAGCACCTGCTTATTCTGGCATCCCAATATTCATTAGCATCATCTACCTCCATATCCGCGATTTGATCCAGAAATATTCTAAACATTTTTATCCAGTTTGGTGCCTGAATTCATTTATATGACCTTTCAGAGCAAAGTGAATACTGGTTTCTCAGAAGAAAAGAAAACCCTAAAGCAAAGACACAAAGGATAAATTCCAATAGTAAACTTCCTTTTAAGCACAAAGTGTCAGCACTGATAGGGACGTGCAGGATTATATGATCCACCCTCTCAATTTTTCAGCAGGTGACTTGACCAGTGTCACATGGCTAGAAAGCAGCAGAGCAAGGACTAGAGCAGTCCAGTTAGAGCACCAGCCACCCTAGTTTGCCCAACATTTCCCAGGACATGAAACAAATCAGTTTTTAAAGCAGGACAAGCCCAGGCAAACTGTCTCTGCCTGAGACTGAGAGGCCTCTCAGGATATCAAGTCTTTCAGTGCAAACCAGGAGCAGTCTCAGACAAATCGATGCCCAGTTGGTCACCCTAAGTCCAGTACTCTCTTCACTACATAAATCTTCCCCTTTTATCAGTTTGATAGAATGTTACTGGTTCTGCCTCAAATATTTAAGCCCAGGAAGAGCCCAGCAATAAGCAATAGAGTTTGACAGCTATGCCCCTTCTAAGAGGGATAAAATTCTATCCATGAATTATAACACACAAATGATCAAAATTAGAGCCTCAAGATTCTCTATGAATTTTTAAAAGAATTTTCAGGTCTTTCAATAATTAAAAGTTAAAAAAATTCAAGAGAATAAAATGAGCATTATGAAGTAAGCCCTGTTTAAGTACCAAGCCATTATTATATGTCCAAACTAATCAAGTTGTCGCTACCGAGAAAAGAAGGCCATGGAAGGTTCACAAAGGTATGCTGATTAATTATCCCAAGAGTCAATTCAGAATGCAACCATTACTCATGAGGCACTCCTCTGACACTGTAATTAGCCTACAATTCTTGTGATTCCAGGGAAGACTTCAGAGTCTGTGTTTAAAACTCTTACAGCATTTCCCACAAAAGGGAGCTGGAATTGACATTTCAAAGTCTTTGAGGAGCCTTGGGATTCTGAGTGCATGATATCTCCATTCATAATAGAGTTAATTTTCTTCCCTCCAACTTTAATCAGCAGTCTCACAAAACCAAGTGGTTGGGGGGAGAAATCCAGCAGGAAAGTGTTGCTGGATTGGGCCAATCCTATATCCATGACGTCATAGACTAACCAGTCAGACACTTTGTTGGGCACTTCATACATGGACACTCTCATCCTCACACCATTCTTCAAGGCCAATGCCATTATCTCACATATATATGTGAGAAGCTGAAACTTCAAGCACTCACTGGCTCCAAGACCACAGAGCTAGTGAGTGACAGAGCCAGTTTGATCCTGGGTCTCTCTGGGACCCAACTCCAGGCCCTTCCCCTGAGTAGATCTCGGCCCTGACCTACACTTACCACCAGAGAAACTGGTCAACACCCGTGTTCTGAGAAGGTTGGCTTTGGAAGGATAACATGGATCAAAATAAATAAACCAATGAAGGCATGTTCCAATACAGCTACAGTTAACAAGCGATGAAACACAATGACCTTAAATTTGATCTGCAATATGGAAATCTCTTCTCTGATTTCGGTGCGGCTAATATGCCTAAACAAATCCCTACAGCCCATACTCCACACAGGCACAACACACCTTGTGTCACTGAAAGTGGTTCTTTGAACCTTCATATTTTTATGGGAAATCTAAGAGACAATAAATTATTACTCACCAAGTGACAAGAATGGAAACCAGGAATATATCCTTTCCTGAAAATAACTTCTTACTTTTGGCTTTCCTCCTCTTTTATTCTCTCCCTTCACAAAAAACAAAACAAAAAGAAAGGGAAAAGAAACTTCCAGTAATTTCAACTGGAAAAATAACATTCCAGATTGCTCTCCTTCCCAAGGATGATGATAATCTGATTTACTGCCTCCTTGCCTGGTTTAAATCAGTAAAGAACATTAAGTACAAGTTCTAGATACTTTAAAAGACAATTTACTATTGAAAAGGGCAATGCTGCAAGGAGCCAAAGGTTTCAGTGCCCCAACTATTAATAAATCCCCTTGAGTCTTTGAAACTTTTACAGCAAGATCATCCAAAGAGCAAGTTCCCTGCCCCTTGGGAGTGAGCGCTGTGAGTTTCTAACCCGGGGTTCTGGTCCTATTGACTTTTCTTTTTGTGCATTTGGCAGGTATTTCTGCTTCCTTAGCTCCTACAGAGCTCTAGGGATAGCCCTGTGATCAGTGCAAGGCCTCACTCTCTGTAGTGGGTCCCCTGGTGAAGAAAGGTCTTTTGGGAAAGACAGGAAACACATTCAGAATTCCTGCAAATTTGACCATTTTTTAGAGAAATTACATGACTATTTTTTAAAAACAAAGTTTGAGAATTACAAATTTGGAGCTTTCAGAATTTCTTAGAGGACTAAATCGGAAGCAGGGCAGCAGAGGGAGATTCCACATGCTCTGAATAATTGGAAATACAGAGTTTTACGAAAAGATAACTTAAAAGTGATTTCTGTACTTGTAAAAAGGGCTCACGTAAAAGCTCTTAAAAGGCAGTTCTCTCCAGTCCATTTGGAACACAATTCACATTACGATGCAGTTAAAGCAGGACACTCCAGGATTTTGAGTCTTACGACGGAACACTGCGCTTCTACAGTGCTCGAAAGTTTACACCAAGCCTGAAAGTCCCCTGTGCATGGGAACCCACCTGACCCAAATAACCAGGGAGAAGTGAGCCTGCGTACCCTTGCGGACAGGTGGGAGTGTATGAGCTGCTCCCAGCCCTCTCTGTGGCTCCAGCTGCTCTTCCAGCTCAAAACCCAGGGCCCTGACCAACTAGCTCTTCTCTCTTGCTTTGCCAGCTCATCTTTAGGCTGGGTCCCTAATTTATATGCAGCTCCCCTCAAGGTGGGCAGAGGAAATGAAACAAGATAAAATCAAGGCGATCACTGCTGCTGTCTTTGAACAGCCCTGATGAAAGAGTCACTACATGAGAGAGGCTGTGGTTAGCACTATCGACAACCAGGATGTAGGATTCTATGTGAATTTCCATTATTCATGCTAAACCTCTCTCTCTAGCCTGACTGCTGTCAAATCTCCAAAAAAGATAACCTGCTCCCTTCAGAGGGATGATCTCTGACACTCTCAGTCCTTCTCCTTCTGCTGACTGGAGAAAACTGCTAATCACTGGCTTGCTTTCCCAGCAAAGAGATGATCTGGTTGCAAATTTCCGAAGTCCTATGAGCTCATCCCTTCTATCCCAGCCCAACCAAATGGTGGTTCTTACCTCTTTCTTTGTCCAGAGAGAGAAGGCACTTTTTCTTCCAAGCACCTTATTAACTTTCCCATCACTCTTTGTCACTAAGGAGTCAGTCCCCACCCCTGGCACTAGCTCTTCTCCAAAAAATAGTCTGAGCCAAGGAAAGCTGGAGCATTCTGGAGCCATGCAGAGCCAGTATCCTCCTGTTAAGAGGCTAGACTGAGTGAGCATCAATTACTCGCACACTCTCCCTCCTGCAATAATAATCAACCCTTTATTCAGATGCAGCAGTTTACAATAGTCTATCCAAGGAATTGGCTAGGTCGCCATCTACCAACACTAAAAGTAAGCTGTGGAAAGGGAGCCTAGGGAAATGATGCGAGCACTAGGCTGGGAGGCAGAAACTGAAACTGACATTGGTTAATCAGTGAGGCAAAAATCTGAACTCAAGTCTGTTTGGTTCTAAATCTCATGAATTTAACCACAATTATCCTACTTCTCATATTAATAATACACTAACAGTTAGTGCACACCCACTGTACGTGGGGTGCCTGACTGGGCATTGCTATACCCAATTTTTAAAGTTAAGCAAACCCACTTCAGTAAAATAAGTGGTATTACCAATATTTGAGCCCAATTCTGTCCAACTCTAAAGCCAGCTGTGGCACCATACAAATGTCTAATGAACAGAAGCAGGTTGAAATGAGAAAAGGAGCAAGACCGCGAACAGCACCCTTGACTATGGAGCCTGGTGGTGGCTGAGCCAGGGCAGGACTGTCGACGTAGGGAGGAGGGGTGGAGATAACGGTGGCATCGGGTAGTGGCAGCAAGGGCTGAGAATGCATTGCAGGGCTTTATGCCCTGTGGTAGGCCCTGGGAACACAGTGAAGCAAAGAGACATTCCATACCCTCAAGGGGCAGCAGGAAGGTATTCGAGCAGACTCAATTGGAGTCAACAGCAGGAGACTATGACTAGGCAGCAGCCTGAGGTCAGGAGGAGGGTCAAAGCAAAGTCTGAGATGCAGCTCTTTCAGAGCACATAGGGCACATGGGGAGGGAGGAGGTTGGTGAGGCACCAGGCGTGTCTGAACCCAGTATCCACCAGGGAGTGGCCCATAAACTCCGTGGTATTCAAAGTTGGCCTCCAACAAAATTTAAACAAGTGAATCAGGTTAAAGGGAGAGATTAGAGAAGAAGAAAAGTGTGAAGACCCAGGAAATCTGAGTAGAGTGCAAGCTAAGGAGACTTTGGACAAGAACATAACCCCAAACTCCCCAACAGCACCCATGGCCTGGGAGAAAATGGCTCTCTCACCCCAGGGTTAGCCCCAGATGGTCTCCAAACAGGCAAGAATGCTAGGGAACTGGGTCTAACTTAGAATCAGATGTGATACCATGAAGCTCCCAAAAAAGGCATGAGAGCCTTTTACTCAGCCATTTCTTGGCTATAATCAGGAAGATTTAAATGCCAAATTATACATGAAAACCTCGCTGGGCTGAAAATGAGAATAGCACAGAAGATTAATCTCAGTCCTTTCGCCAAAAATCACATTATTTATGATGATGTGTATAAAGCACTATGAAGCATGGTCTAGAACCCAGGAGATCCACAGTTTAGGAATAAGCCATGGAGAAAACTTGTGCTTTCTTCTCTCCACTTCAGCCATCAGATGGCTTCCATCTGAGATTCAGTCCATCCTCCATTCTATTCCTTAATCCCTTCCAACCTACCAATCCTCAGTCTCTCCTCTTACTTCTGATTGGCCATCATTTGAGTGGACGGGTGTGCCAAGCAAACATCTAGGAGCGTATAGGTGAGGGAAGCAGAAAAGAGCGAGAAGGCAGTATCTAATGTCTCAAGGCAATGACCTGGAAGGCAATGAGAGGGATGTAGGTAAAGAAGCCACCAACTCCAAAAACAAGAGAGCATGACACTGGCTCAGTCATGGGCTGGTGGTCACACTTCTTCAGCAGCTGGAATGGGATTTTTGAATCATAAATCAGATTTAACCTGACCTTACCAACGTCTAGGAGATTGTATGGACAGAGAGAACAGATGCTGTCACTGCCATTGAGGAAACTGCTATCTTGTAAGCCTTAATGGGCCTTCATAGTCTCAAAGACTTCTCTCAGAACTGGGGTCCAATGTCAGGGCAAGGGAGAAGAGGACCGTCATTCCTGGGGGTGTGAGAAAGCCTCAAGAAACTTTCTCCTCCCACTGGCCCCACACAAATGGTACAAGAAAATTCAAGGAGGCTGAGAGGAAAGTCTTAGCCTATAGCTCACATATAATTAGGACATTAGTACAGCTGGGGTTATAGACCTCATTCCAGTCAAGGTCCCTTAGGATCGGTGAAGGCCAACCATGGGGAAAGAATAGCAACAATACCATGTTACCCTCAAATCTAAGATGTCACCAATTGTAAAATGCATTCTGGTTTCAGAGATAAAATCTGAAAGAGTGGCTTATAATGATTATAAAATGATATTGATTGTTCAATGCATCCCAATTTCAGAGATACTAAAATGGAAAAGAAAATACATCTTAGAATCAAGGAAATTCAGTAATACCACCTATGGTTGGCACTACTACAGTTCAATAAGTTCTCATGGCATGACACTTCTATCCCCTCCAAAGTTATGTAAGATCATATGACTGGTTTTGGCCAATGAAATGTGAGCAGAAGTAAATGTCACTTCTAGGCCAACATACCTAATTGCCAGTGTTTAACTCTCCAGGGCTCTCCTCTTCCAATGCAGTAACCATGGAAGTACATGGTGGTTGCACATGGCGAGGGTAGCACCACAAGAAGATGGAATCTTCATCCGCTTGGATCTCTGAGAAACTTCAGTGAGAAAAGTCCCCCTGCCAACTCCTCCAACCCATTTTGGACATGTACTGTAAGAAAAAAATAAAATCTTATTGTTTTAAGCAACTGAAATTCCAGGATTGTTTGTTACCACAACATAACCTAACCTCTCCTGATTGAAACACCATCTTATGTTTAAATAAGGCACTACCTCATTTGGTCTTCATAATTATACAATAGGGCAGGCAAGGCATGCACTATTCCCACTTTAAAGACGAAAGAAATTGAGGCTCAAAAAAGATTAATCAAATTGGCCAAAGTCATATAGCTAGCTTGGCGGGGGCGGGGGCGGGGCGGGTTGGGGACTAAAGTTCATGTCTGCTGACTAAAGAATGAGCCCCACCGGTTGTGTCCCTGTCTATCTCTATTTGTCTCCAGTCTCCAAATCCTTGCTCCATTGGTTGTATGAATACACAGACATACACATCTACCATGTTTGGGCAAATAGCTTTTGAATCCCAATCTCTTTCCTTTAAGCAGCAGCAAAACATGCAAGAATCTGGCCAAAAACAGAACTTAAGGCTTAGAATATGGGTGAGAATTCAGGCCTAGCTGCAATGCCACAGCAATGTATTTGTAGCTGAAACATGAGTTGATAAGTTCTAGAAAGGTAAAGAGATAAATGCTGAAATGAGTATTTTCACAATCCATGGATAAAGAATGAAGGGGGGGAGGGGGGAATATAAAGAAGATATATTCCTCATGTTTTGCATTTCATTTCAGTTTCCTGAACATACTTTTACATCCTGAGTGGAAAATTAGACCCAGTCACTGTTTGCTATAAAGTTGCCAGCAACCATGGGATGACATCCAGGAAATTCTGATCTCTTACTAAAGCATGTAGACAAGAGACAAAAAGAACAGGCAGCCTCCTGGGGTGCCTGACCCTATCACTGCCACTCTGATTATATTCTGTGCTCAGAACCCCAAATTGTGCAAACCAAAATGATTTCCCCGAATCAACACTGGGCTGAGAATTCAGTTACTTCATTTCTAAGCTAGGAAAAGGAGCCTCCCTAGAGTCAATTTTAAGGCCAAAATACAAAACAGCCAGCTAGTGTCAGCAACCAGCTTCAGGGTTTGCCCTTGGTGCTCCAAACAGGCCCAATGTTTAACATGAAGAAAAGGAAATGAACTTCATAATTTCCCTATGTTAGGGCAGCTCTCAGGACTATTCCTCTTTTCCATCACACTTTCTCCCTCAATAGACCCCAAGCCCTGAGCACAGTGCCCTCCCAGAGTGATGGTTCCGTTCAGGGTCCATACTTGGCTAAGCACCTGGTTCAGAAAATGTGGGAAACTGTCCCTAGGAGAGGCGTGTTCACAGCCAGAGTTGTGAGTATGACCTTGTCAACCTCTCTGAAATTCTAAGCAAAGAAGTACTTATAAAATAACTGCCCAAGTCCCCATTTCCCTTACTGATGTCCCAACAACCCTGGCTATCTCCAGTAACTCAGTGAGCTCAACTTCTCACTGTATAAACATCAGTGTACAAGAGAAAAGCTTTCTGAGTTTTATACACCTTACCTGGGATAGATCCACATCATTTTGTTAATGCTAAACATTTTCTTCTTAGAATGGCAAGCTTTTCTTCATTATTTTGTGCCAAAATAGTAAATTTGATCACTATGAAGCCAGAGGAATTCTCTGAGATTATAGGAATGGATATTCATATTGTCTTGTGCAGTAAAGTAAATATCCATAAGGCAGACATTCATCCTGCCTAAAAAGATTCGGTGCCCCTTTCCTGTTACACAAAAGCACTATTTTCCCACAGCAAGGCTTTGGATAGCAGTTCCTTAGGTAGAGCCTACGACGATTTGCAGCAGAACACTTGAACAATGGTTCTTAACCACTTGGGTGTTTCTAGCCTCTTCAGAAATTGGTTGAATCCTGTGGACTCTCTTGCCAACAAAATACACACAGGAAAACATAAAGGCTGTTTGTAATTTCAGGGTGTTCACATCTCCCTAAAGCTCATCCAATTCTTCCCGGCTTTGACTCTAGTCCTAACTCTCTTTCCCAGTGAAAGGGGATGTTCATGCAGGAGATGCCAGTCCAACCCATCTGATGATGTTGCCCCCATTCTTTCATAGGAGCTTGTTACTCACCCCAAAAGAGGATGCTCTCCTTAATTCCTCCAAATCTCAGTTCCCCCACAAAATGGGAACTATAATGTGTGCCAACCCGCCTCATGGGATATTGTGGAAAACAAATAAGGGGAGAGACATAAATATACTCTGAATTATGGATCAAACATTGCATGTTTGTGCAATACTGTTGGTGAAGAGTGTATGTGTCAGCTGTAATGGGCTCCATCCATTCTGCTTCCAACCTCCTCCATCTATGTTAGCTGAACACACCAGATCGTTGATTTGATTTTTCACTGAGGTCTTCTGGGGTTCACAGTGCTGGCACATTCCTTTGCAAATAAGGGTGTGTGTGAGGGGCATGCAAGACTGTCGATTCTTTAATGACACTGTATTGGCATCTAAGGAACAGCCAAACATTGCTGCAATCCTAGTAATTCAGAGGCTTCCATAAATCACCCTGATGAGAAAGAAACGCTAAAGCAGGAATATTGCTTTCTGCTGCCTAGAAGACAGAATCAATGGTTTAAGGGTATTCTTTAGGGTTGACCTAGTTGTCCAATAACCCATTCCTCAAGTTGTCATGTGTAACCAGGGACCTCACAAATAGGACACAGGTAAAAATAAAGATGATAATGAAAATATTATCCTGAGTCTGTCTTAGCCCTTTTTGCATGTTAACTGCTTTAATAGGTTTAGAGTATTTATTTGTACAAATTCATTTGTTAGAGTGGGCTAACTGCTGTAACAAACACACCCAAAGATGTATAACAGGCTCATATGCAATAGGAGTTTATTTCTCCCTCACATAAATAGTTTGAGGCATTTCCTGTTTGGTTCCACAAAATCATACAGAGCCCCAGACTCATAGAGACTCTGCCAGCCTCAACACATGGCATTCACTGTTGTCCTGGCATCAACACGTTGCAGACAGGAGGGTAAAGAGCAGAGAAAATTAGGTTTCAGAGGTTTAATGGAGCAGACCTGGAACAGAGACATAACTCTTCTGCTCACCTTCCATTAGCTATGCTGAACAGGAGGGGAACCGAGAATGTAATCTAGCTGTGTACCTAGGAAAAAGAGGAAATGGATTCTCATATGCATCTAGGTCCCTCTTCCCAGAAATCATTAAAAATAATAATTTTGAAATTAATTTCTGGCCAATATTTGGGTGAATAAAGTCAGCAGGTTAATTTATTCATACACTCATTCCCTTAACATGCATTTATTAAACATCCACGCTGTGCTACTCATTCTTCAAGCACCAAGAACACAGCAGTTTTTAAAAATAGCAAAGTCTTTGTCAGCATAGAATTTATTTTCCAGTGTGGTCGGACAGATACCAAACAAGAAAAATAAGTAAAATATAGGGGATTTTAGTGATTAATAGTAAAAAAGAGGTTCAGACTTTGTTCCTGTTTAAAAAATGCATTATACAGGGCCGGCCTGGTGGCATAGTGGTTAAGTTCATGCACTCTGCTTTGGCAGCCTGGAGTTCCCCAGGTCAGATCAAGGGAGCAGACTCACACACCACTCATCAAGCCACGCTTTGGAGGCATCCCACATACAAAATAGAGGAAGACTGGCATGGATGTTAGCTCAGGGGCAATCTTCCTCAAGCAAAAAGGGGAGGATTGACAGCATATGTTAGCTCAGGGCCAATCTTCCTCACAAAATATATATCTATAATCTAAGGTATACTATGCTTTTAACTGTGAAACAAAAGCTGCCTAGAATTCTCAAGAAATAGTGTCTCTGCTTTGCTTGACATGGTCAGACCAGGTTCATAATATTGGAGTCAGCCCCGGAAATTATCATTTTAAAGACATAAACCAACTAGAACATATTCCAAAGGAAGCAACCAGGATGGCAAAGAAAGTTGAGACCACATTTCATATTCAATTTTCCATTTATCTATTCAACAACAAATGTATTCTGAACACTATGTGCCAGGCAGTCTGCTCTTCAGAGCAATGAAAGAATAGACGATAAATAGGTCAAAAAGTAAATAAGAAGGATTAGCAGTGTGAGGCCCTAAAAGAGGACTGAGTTTGGCAGGTTCAAGTACCAGAAAGAAAAGCAGTGCAGTTCAAGCACCATGGACAAGAGAGAGCCGGAGGGCTCAGGTTGAAGGATTAGGGAGACTGGGTACAGACTTGCAGGCATAGTAAGGAGCTTGGATTTTCTTTCCTAAGGGTAACTGAAAGCCATTGGAGGGTTTGAGGAGGCAGCGATATGATGATCACACTGGTTTCCTACGTTGCTATAACAGATTACCACAAACAGTGGCTTAAATCAACACAAATGTATTCTCTTACGATTCTGGGGATCAGAAGTCCGAAATCAGTTTCACCAGACAGAAGTAACAGTGTCGGCATGACTGGTTCCTTCTGGAGGTTCTAGGGGACAATCTATTTCCTTGCCCTTTCTAGCTTCTGGAGACATGCTGCAGTCTTTGGCTAGTGACCCTTTCCTCATATCACTCCAACCTCTTACTTCCATTGTGACATCTCCTATTTGTATCTGAGTTAAATCTCCCTCTGCCTCCCTCTTATAAAGACAGTTGTGAATACATTTAGGGTCCATCAAGATACTCCAGTATAATCTCCCTATCTCAAGATCCTTAACTTAATCATATCTGCAAAGTCTCTTTTGCCATATATGTAACATTCACAGATTTCAGATATCAAACCTGGATATCCTTGAAGCCATTATTCAGCCTGCCACAGAGCACAGGAAGAAATGTCAGCTGAGAGCCACATTTCCCAAAATTTGTTCAAATTTTGACGATGTTACTCGTTGTTTCATGAGTGGAAAAGTCTTCCTGAACAAATTAGTTTGGGAAAATTGGAGTAGGCCAAATTAAGCTGTTTTCCTTACTTCTCAGAACCTCAAATGAAACTTTCCAAAATGAAACATAGCTGCAATTTATGTGAGCA